CTTTCTCCAAGAAATAGAACAACTTTTGAATTTTCCCCCTTTGGGATTAAAGCATCACACACACACACACACACACACAAATGAAGACTATAGTGTTCACTTACTAGTCTGATACTTGGGCCATTCTTAGGTGTCAATATTAGCAATTAGTTTGTTCAGCGCACTGCCATCAAAAATCTATCGAATCACTACATGTTTCTAAAACACATTCTGACTTACTCTTGAGTCAGACACAGTGAAATGAATCTGAGTTAATTTTTGTGTGTACATATATGAATACACCACAGTGAATCCCACCATCGTGAACATCCACAAGAATGGGGTCCTAATTAGAATAAGATATATTCCATGCTTGTATAATTATATCAAAATGAATTCTACTGTCATGTTGAACTAAAAAGAACCAATAGAAAAAAAAAAAGGAGTCAGATATTTAGTTTGAACTTTGCAGGTTTGCGGCTAACTTTTGCCATGTGAGCTACAGGCAGGTAAGGCCCCAGGAAACTACAGTCACCTCTATTTTAGGCGGCACAGTCTTGCTATTGAATAAAGCATTATATATTTTTAACTTCAGTCAGGACCCATGCAGGAGGAGTTGTCCAAGCTCTTTAGTGATCAGCTCTTTGCAGATGGCAATCCTCTCAAGCAGTTTTAAGAACTGGGGCTGGAGAAGTTTAAGATCAACCAAGTTTAGCTCCTTGCTACAAAAATGATCTACCTATTCCATATGACAGAAATTGCTGTTGAGGCATTTTATGTATGTTGTGTGTGTGTGTGTGTTTGTGGTATTGGGGATTCAACTTGGGGCACTCTACCACTGAGTTACATCCCCAGCCACACCCTCATTTTAAACAAATTTTTGAGACGGGGTCTTGACAGGTTGGCCAGGCTGGTCTTCGAACTTACAATCCTCCTGCCTCAGCTTCCCAAGGTGTTGGAATAAAGGCCTGTACCACTGCACCTGGCGCTGTCCATTCTTCTTCTTCTTTGTTTTTTTAAATATTTTTAGTTGTAGGTGGACATAATCCCTTTATTTTATTTATTTATATATGGTGCTGAGGATCAAACCCAGTGCCTTACACATGCCAGGCAAGCGCTCCACCACTGAGCCACAACCCCAGCTCCGCGCTGTCCATTCTTAATCAACAATTAATTGACAAAGCATTCCATCATAGCCAGTACCAGTGTTCAGAAACTCTTACAATTAAGAATTCCTCTTTAAGTCTGATTTAATTTACTCCTACTGATCATTAATTAATATCACTCTTGGGGGGATATTCACTGTGGTTTGTATATTTTCATTTCAAAATATGCAGAACAGGCTTAGGACGTATCATTGATTCTGTGATCTGAATATTGCAATCAATAATTTGGCTTATGAAATAGCTTAATGTACTCTCTTTGGATTTTAAAACTAAAAGATTAGAGAAGAAGTATGAAACTTCTTTGCATTATCTATGTAAAATAATTGTTGAAAAAACACAAAATACTTCCATGAACATGTTAACTATTCATATATCAAAGAAGCCTGAAATATCACTGTGAAATAGTCAAGAAATTGTTTTCACTAACAAGCCTCCACAGGGTATAAGATCAAAATCAGTAGTGGCATCAACCTCTGATCAACTCATGAGTGTATTGGCATCTGCCCCTTCACACTGCACACTTAACTCTTCCAATCTAGAATTCCTCAGAGAGCAAGATAAAGGACACATTCAGCATGACCTGCTTTATCAGCATGTGGCCTGTGATTCACTATACACACTCAAACGTCTGCACAACAAATTCTTACTGATCACATTTGTGCCAAACAGCGAGAATTTAAAATATTGTGCTTTAAAAATATGACATATCAGTTCTATAGAATAATGGATTTTAAAGTTTATGTTAAGCCCCAGAAGCCTGGAGCTCTTCTGGCAAAGGGGATGCCAAAGTCTATAATATTTCTTGCCAAGGTTTGGCCAAGTTCTGCAGAATTCCCAGGGGCCCCCAATGCAAACATACTGCAGAGCCGTGGCACTGTTACGATCTGGCTTCTACAGTTTTATTGCATGATGAAATGTTTCCACATCAGAACAGAATATCCCAGTGAATCTTTCATTCAGTATCCTAATGAATGGGTGTAAATTGAAATAGAGGGACTCCAAAGTAACCCTAATATAAAAGGCAGCTCAGGTAGTTAAACTGAAGTATAAATAAGAATATTAGTTTTATTACTCCTTAAACAACATTTTCCAGGATTCTGAGCCCTTTTTACATCTCCATTTTATCATAGATATCTAAGACCAATATTTTTAATCAATTAGTATTTGAAAACCATACATTAGTCTCCCAAATACTGGAAAATATATTTTAAAGCAAATTAGCAGGTGTATTATGGTATATATCTTTCAACTCAGTAATCATCTTTCTATAAACACACATTAAGAGAGTCATTCATCAATCAGGTTAAATAATAGGTATGAGAGTGATAATGGTATTTACAAAAGTAAAAAAAAATACTGGAGTCATTCTAAATGTCTCTAAAAGGTTTTAAAAAATAAGTTTTTAAGAAAAGTTTTCAACCTGGGAAAGATCTAAAGACATATTGTTAAATAAAAAAGAGTGGTTAAAAGGATATATACAGTGTATGAGTGTACCTTTTTCCTGCTTCCTAGCCAAGACTTTGTTGTTTGTATGCATAATAGCTGCCATTCTGACTGGAGTGAGATGAAATCTTAGAGTGGTTTTGATTAGCATTTCTCTAATTGCTAATGATGATGAACATTTTTTCATGTATTTGTTGACAGATTGTACATCATCTTCTGAGAAGTATCTCTCCAGGTCCTTGGCCCGTTTATTGATTGGGTTATTTGTTTTTTTGGCTTTTAGCTTTTTGAATTCTTTATGTACTCTAGTGTTTAGTGCTCTATCTGATGTGTGAGGGGTGAAGATTTGCTCCCAAGATATAGGCTCTTAATTAATGATGGTGAATGTGATCATTATTATCCAAAGTTCATGTATGAAGACACGAATTGGTGTGAATATACTATGTATACAACCAGAGATATGAAAAATTGTGCTCTACACATGTAATAAGAATTATAATGCATTCTGCTATCATATATAAATAAAAAATAAATACTTTCCATTAAAAAAAAGATATACACATATGCACAAAGGTGTATATGTTCATACGTGGGATTTCATTTTAATTTTATTTGAAAGTTGCCTAGGAAAAAAAGGTAAAACAAAACCAAAAACAAATAAAAAAACCCAATAAAACAAAACATCCCTAAAAGCACATTCCTTGTCTGTTTTTACATTTACTAACATGGACCTCAATTATCTTTGTAGAAAGAAAAGAATTCCTTTAATTTAAAATCAGAAGAAAGTCTATCAAATGTTAATAGTGGTTTTCTTTAATCGACATGATTATGGAAAATGTTTTAAAAAATATTTTCCCCATTTTTCTTTTACAGAGAGCACATTCATTTCCATAGGGAGAAACAACATACAGCTAGTGAGTAAGGCCCATGTTGAGGCGACTGAATTTTCACCCATTAGAACCACCGGCAGTGAGTTATCAAGACACATTTCAAAAGGGATTTTACAAACCCCAATGTGCAAAATACTAATGCTTCATTTTGATTATCTGCTGTGAATTGCAATGAAAATTTTATTGGGTGTAAGTTGAAACCATTGAATTAAAAAGATTTTCCAAATGATCTGTGTGTGTTGATACCCAAGTCCTTTTCCATAAAAGGCATATTTTCTATGCAGCATGCTTGGTGGTACCCTCACACCATGAGCTTGAGATTGGGTGGTCCCAATTATATGGCATTATTGCCTGTATTCTAGTTGACTTTTTTTTTTTTTTAATGTGGTAGGTATTGAATACATTTCAGGGATATATCATACTTTTTTTCTAACTTGTCTCTTCTGGTTTTGATGGTGGTATATTTGAGTAGAGAATAACAGAGCAAGAAGGAATCTATTTTATATAAATAGGAAAAAAAAAGCCATCCTCCTTTGGTGTTTTTGTTTGGTTTTTTTCAGTTAAGAAGTGCAGGGTGGCACACACCTGTAATCACAGCGCCTCAGGAGGCTGAGGCAGGAGGACTGTGTGAGTTCAAAGCCAGCCTCAGCAACTGCGAAGCACTAAGGATCTCAGTGAGATCCTGTCTCTGAATAATATACAAAATAGGGCTGGGGATGTGGCTCAGTGGTTGAGTGTCCCTGAGCTCAATCTCCGTACCAGAAAAAAAAAAAGAATGAAAGAAATGGAAAAGATAATAAGTTCTCCTAAAAACATACTGTTATTATGTTTCATTCTAAACTCATCATGAGCTGTTAGTGTGTCTTCATTTTGGAATGCCATAATTTGCTTTATAGTTTCCTACTGCTAATATTGTACTGTGTTACTCATGGGAAACAAACCTGACCAAGTTTTATTCATATATTCAGATTATTTAACATGAGAATTCAAAGTACAGAAGTGAGAAAGAAGTAGTCGCACTGATATATCATATAGGTGTCTAATTATAGATAAAAATATTTGACTTACCTGTAAAACCATTGCACAAGGAAGTGACAGTATAAAAAGCATTTTGATGACAGACTCAAAAATACATACAATAAAAAACAATTATTGGTAATAGCCAAAATAACCAAAAGATCTCTGTTTTAACTAGCAAGTGCTGATATATAATCGTACTGTTATATCCATTAAACAATATTTAAACAAACACTTTATAAAGCCAAAAATAATTTTAAAAGGGAAAATTACAAAGAATGTCAAAATACCAATCTGATTGCATTCTTCACAGTCAGCAAGTAACATAAAAATGTCACGCCATTACCCCTTCAGCTGTCATAATTACTGTTCCCTTATGTTGCCTAGTTGTTTTCTCCTTCAAATTTTTTTCTTTTATTACAAAGAATCACCTTCAATGACGAAGATAACACTAAAATAAAATCAACATAGCCAGAGCAAAGATAAATAAATTGAAAAAGCCAACCTTTATTCCACTTTGAACAAGTTTGTGAATGTCCAAATAAGGCTCCTTGAATATTTCTCCTTCGGGGGTGAGAATCTTCACATAACCTTCTTTTTCCAGAATGAAGAGGCGGTGGGAGCCATCCCCACTGTGCAGGGCGCCCACAGGCTGCCGCAGCCCGCTCACAACCTCCTGAACGCAGAAGCAGTTGTGTTTGTGCTTTCTAAACAAATGAAAGAAACCCAGTGAGCTTCTCTTGAGATGAAGCACCAAAGGAGTAATCTCAGCATCCTTTCCAAACTTTATTTCCTCTAGAAATCAGTGCTTTGGAGAATCAGGAAGGGCTGCTAACCCGAGATTCAGAATATGATTCTTTCAGATCTTTTCCATGGAAAATGATCAAACAGAGTTCTGTCAGAAAGTAAAAGTGAGAATCCAAACACATATGCATTTTAAATTTTCATAAGCTCATTATCTCATCTGTCAGTGACTATACTTGAAATCAGCCTTTACTCTGAATGATGGAATCTTATAAGAAGGCACTCAGAGAGAAAGTTCTATGATCTATATGTAAAAGTCCGATTTGCTCATAATTGTGCTGAATAGGTACACAGGACTATAAGTGAACAATCATAAAATTCAAGTTTAAAACTATACCCATAAAATTCACGAGTCATAGAGAAGCCACGCTCATAACACAGGATTAATAGTCTTAAGTATTTAAGCTATGATTTTAGAGAAGTAAACTACCCAAAAGGGGGGAAAAATAGCATCTGGAGGACATATCTGCTGAATATAGGAAGCACAGACAGTTGTGTTACTGTCAAAGACATAAGATTTAGGACTGGGGTGTAGCTCAGTGGTAGAGCCCTTGCTGAGTGTGTGCAAGGCCCTGGGCTCCAACCCTATCACCTCAAAGACCAAAAAAAAAAAAAAAAAAAAAGAAAGAAAGAAAAAAATCTCATAATATTTGTCACTTTTGTGTGGGGGCAGTACTGGGGATTTAACTCAGGGGCACTCAACCACTAAGCTACATCCCCAGCCCTGTATTTTATTTACAGACAGGTTCTCACTGAGTTGCTTAGGGCCTCACTAAGTTGCTGAAGATGGCTTTGAACTTGAGATCCTCCTGCCTCAGCCTCCCAAGCCACTGGGATTATAGGTGTGCGCTGCTACCACACCTGGCTGTCACTTTTTTTTTTTTTTTTTAAGATTATAAAGAACATTTGTCTATGGACCTGCTTATCTCTTCCACTTTGTCATATTCTTCCATCTGGTCCAAGTAGTTAGATGCTGGTCCCCTGACTTGTTTTCTTGGAAAATCTGGAAAGCACAACCCACCATCTTTTCTTGCATAGTAAAAGCAAAACTCATCCGCCGTTGTTTGAAGAAAACCTTAAAGCAATGCAAAAAACCACATTAGAAACATTTAGAGTCATAGTAAAACCACCTCATTGGAAAGAGGTGACACTGGAAAAGAGACTTTTTCAACACTATGTCAATATTCTAAGGGGAGGAAAAACTAGATTAAAATAACAGAAAAGGGAAAAAAATCAGAGGATGTTTGGGATTCACATTTCTTCTTTAACTAAAATTATCAATTTCATGACATACATGTAATACAAACCCAGTATTAATCTTTTAGTGCATTGATTCTTTTCATATTTCCTCGCTGATCATGACATAATCATAAGCTCTTTTCAAATAGCAGGTGTCTATTTCTTGCACTTCACTTAACAGATTATACTGATAGTTTTGCAATATAAAAATTATAAAATTATCCCTTCTATCTTCTCAAGCAGAAAAGTTGACACCAGTAAGCCAAAAGAAAAATACAAAACAGCCTTATTTAATAGGATGTAAAAGATATTTTTTCTTTTCTTACATATTAAGAATTTTATCAAATAAATACAGCTATCTTAGAATATGAAAGAAAAAGACTTTGTAATCAGAAGAAAAAAAACAACAAGAGTTTTACATTACTTTTTCAATTTGAGTTTATAAGGTATTGGCTTTTTGTGCATATTAATAAAACTCACTTTTGTATTCTGATAAGTTCTTCTTTCAAAATATGATGTTACCAGAGTCAGCACAGACCAGAATCTGTAGTTACCAGTAGTCCTATATTGCTTCTTCTGGTCTCCTACTTTATCATCTTAAAAGTTTAAATTTTTATCTAATGAATTAAATTATTGTGCTCTCTATTATTTGGTGATAAATACACCAAGTAACATAGCTGAAATTTAGGAATTTTATAACAAATTCAGGTTTACAAGGTTTCTAAGAACAAGATTCTGGGGTCAACCAAGTAAGGCTCACCAATGGAGCAGGAAAGACACTACAAGTTTATTTCCTATGAGCTTGATTAGAATGTCAGGGTCCTAGTTGTTTAAAGTCTGAAACACATTTTTACCTAACTTTTGGATGAAATGTGTTACTTTTCAATATCTGAGAGACAGTCTTCCAGATTGATTTCCTCCTAGACTATGGGGAAGGGTCTTGCGTTTGGGCACCAGGCAACCAGAGCAGATGTCCTTGAGAATATGTATGCCTATGGCAGAGGACACAGAGATTGAAGTTCTGGCAGCTAGATGGGTGCTCCCTAGGAGGGGCAAGCGCCTGGAAGATTTTCTTTGAAAAAAATCAAGGATTAAAAACTGGGGATCCCAGAGGCTTGGGAGGTTGAGGCAGGAGGATCACAAGTTCAAAGACAGCCTCAACCTAAGAAACCTTGTCTCAAAAACAAAAACAACAACAAAAATGGGCTGGGAATGTGGCTCAGTGGTTAAGTGCCCCTGGGTTCAATCTTCAATCCCTGGTACAAACAAACAACAATAAAACTTGGGAAAGGAAGGAAGGCAGCCATACATTAATTCATCTTCAGCAATTCACTGTTTGCCAAAGATTTATATTTTTCCTGATCTCATCCTTTAATGGCTAAGCACACAGATGAAAACTTCCTAATAGTGGCAAACAAGTCTCTTTGAGCAAAAATGAGAAGGAAAACAGAATTGCTAAATTCAACTCTCTGTACTGTTTGGGGCTGAATCTTACTTTGAAGAGAGAGACATACACACACCTTTGAAGTATATACTATCAGGCAGCAAGATCTTCATGCCAATATGCACACAGGAAGACTGTCAGGCAATGAATCTGTTTACAACTGAATTTGAAAAAATTTGTTTTAATGTGATGTTTGCCTGTAAGGTCACAGAAAAAAATTTTAAATTCAATTCGGAAGAAAATTTAAGTTTGCTTCAAAAAAAGAAATTTGTATATTCTAGCATTACAAGCTGCAAACCAATATCATTTCAAGGGGAAGTTAATGGACCATTAATTCCATTTTATAAGGACTTCTTAGCTGGGGACAAATGGGAGGAAATGAGAAATCATTTTCAAATGGAATATCTTAAGATTAATAAGCGCATGTTTATAAACACTGTTACCACAGAAGTACTATGCTATCTTTGCAAATTAAAAAAAAATACAGAATATAGCCACACATTTTTCCTAGCTTCTTACAAAATTTATTCACATTTGTTCACAGCTCAGAAGACTTTATATAAAAAAATGGGCAGTGTTTTTACAATCATGATATATTAGTATCTAATCCTTTTAAATTAATACTTTCCTTTAAATTACCTGATTTTGCTGTGGGCAGTGATGAAATTGACACATTTGTTGTGAACAGCCCAAAAGGACTTGGTCTCAGGGCTTTGGTTAACACTTATTGCAAGGGAAGGTTTAATCCACCCTTTGGTTTGGAAGAATACACTAATGAACTTTCACTGAAGGTGCATGCTTAGCACATCCTGGTCATCTTGACAAGGTTAGGTCTGCTGATGATGGATGTATAGTGAGTATCAAACAGCTGCACCTTTGAAATCCTAATTACTTATTGAGTCTCCTGGGCCGGTAGCCATTCTCCTGGATTGGGAGTCCAGTCCTGCTATGCTACAAAACACCCTAGAAAATACTGATCTGTAACAAATTCCCGCTGTGGGCAGTCTGGGCTCTATCTCTATTCTCAGAGAAGTTCTTATTCCTTGTCTTAGGTATACTCATTGTGAAAAGGAAAAAGGAGAAAAGAGCTCCTGATCCCTTGGCAGAAGGCCTGCACTTAGGGACATTTTCTGGTAGAAGCCGTAGGTTTTGAGGTAGCCATCCATTTCCTCCAGTTTGCGCTTGGGATAATAAGACCCATGTGAAAACAGCTGAGAAAGTTGGGAGTGGCTGTGGGATGGACTCAAACTCTTGACCTTGGCCTGATTAGCAACAGGATTAAACTAGCTGAACTGACTGAGTACAGATCTTTGACAACACAGTGCCCTACTGCTGAGGAGACCAAGAGTGACAAGAATCACCGTGATACCAGGTGCACAGAGAAGCAAGGCCCACTGGTTCCTTGGTACGCCTCTCAGAGTGCAAGATGCAGTCGTTTGGTGAACAGCAAAGCATCCCATGTGCTTGTGCAGGCAAGTAAAAAGACCCGAGGGGTTGGACAGAGGGCTCCTGTGGTTTTTGAATGCAATGTTGAAATTTCTAGAAATTTAAAGAATTTACCTCTCTGAGAAAATTAACAACTGGAGAACATTATGATTACTATAACTCTAGTGTATGAGCATTTCTATTGCTTTTTAATTTCTTTTCCCATTTTGGGGAAAACAAGAAAACCATGACTATTTCTGAATTTAAATTTCTAGAAATGATTGTCTTTCAGGTTATACGAATACTCTAAGATGACCATACTTTTTTTTTTTTAAATCATTCTTTCTAGATATTCATAACAGTAGAGTGTATTCTGACACATTCTTGAAGAAGAAAGGCAAAGGGTTAGCTCATGGACACGGGTTTCCTTGTATACTCGGCATCACAGGGAAAATGAAGATGCTTCTGAAGTTACTTTCTCTCTCCTGGTCCCTTTCAGTATTTTCTTTCATTTAGCAAGAGCCACCTTCCTTTTCAAGTTTTTGATTTGTAAGAATCAAAACTTGAAGTCACTGCTGAGAACAGCTGAGATATGTTGACTAGTCTTTTATAAATAAGAAACCCAAAGTAGCTGTTTTCTACAATTATGGACTTCAGAGAAATGCAAACCCATATTATTCAACAGACATAAGAAGGTGAAACTAATACAAACTTGCTCTCACAACCATTTCTGAAAAATGAGTGCTCTAGAAGTCTACAGACACTTCTGTGCTGGCCGCAGGGGCTGAGGGGAGGATTTTTACCTTATTCATGACTCTTTAGGAAATGGTAACCTGTGTGTCAAGGGTCAGTCTGACTAACAAATTAACTAGCATAAGTAACCCAAAGGGTGTGTCATTACAACTCTCTTTGGGGACAAATATTTTAAATGATGTTCAGTATGTGATATGGGAAGGGGAAGTCCCCTCTGCTTGCTGCTGAAGTCTTCTAGAGTCTCTGGAAAGCACCCTTACAGCTAGCTCCATCCACCTCGAAAGTGGAGCTTTCATCTGGTTATCTTTCAAGGCAGCCTGGGTGGCCACCAAAAGCACTTGACATCTTGATGCACTTCAGCAGTTTTACATATACACAAACTTTGTAGAAAAATAAATTTGTCATTCGTCACCACATATGTTGATCTGGGGAGTGAGGTGCTTGCAATTCTCAAATGCTAAAATAACTTTAAATATATAAAGACCCCCACAGACAAGTCCACAACTCCACCATTGCTGTATTTATCTATAATAGATAAAGGTAAATAAAGATGCCAAGTGTTCATAACACTTTCAGCTTAGTTGAAGGCCAACCTTTAAGATTTGGCAGTTTGCAGCTAACCTTTATGGTTTCTAATCTGTTATCAGCTCTCTGCAGGCCATCTAGACACCCATGACCTGTTTGCTTCGGAGAATGATAAGGAGGAAGAAACAGCTGGTTTAAGGGAAGTCTTAGAAACATGACTCTAAGTTTATAAAGACAATAATATTTTCTCATAGAATGGGTTTAGGTACATGTTATGCTAAAGTTAAAACAAGTAACCAGTCAAAATACTTTAGGTTATTAAGAGAAATCTATTAAAAATACAAAAATCTGCACTTCTCTAGGCCAGAAAAAAATGTAAAAATGTATATAGCAGTTTAAAAAGTTCTCCAAGTGCATCCTATAGTTCTTAAGGCTTATCTTTTCTTTAACTACCATTTAGTTTTATAAACAGCTAACTTCAGTAGTTTTGTTTGTGTGTGATTTGGCCTAACTAAACAGAGTCTGTCTCATTAAATTCTTTTCTTCCTCTTTGTTGATCCTTCCAATGAAAGCAACAACAACCCAAGCTGACAAACTCTGGATGATTAACATATTCAATGCCCAGGAATCTCTGTTTATTAGAGTCTTGTGATAACTATGTACTTTCCCATTCTAATGACTTTGAATGAGGCATGTGACTTCTCCTGAGGGCTTGGTTTCCATCATCTGTCTAATAGAGAGGACTCCACTGTCCCCACCAACTTTAGGAGTTTCGGGGCAGCAAATTAGCCTTTTATGGAGTGCTTTGTAAGATGTTACTTGTTAGGGTTCCCAGTCATATTTTATTTAAAGGAATATCTTAAAAGTCAGTAGGCATTCTCCAATCATCTATTAGTTTTGTAGAACAGGCTGACTTTGATATTAACAATGGAAGGTAAAGAAATATGTATGAAGCTGTGGGTGTAGCTTAGCAATAGAACGTGTGCTTAGCATGCACAATGTCCTGGGTTCCATCCCTAATATCAAAAGAATAATAAGACAGAAAAAGAAATCTATACTACCAATCCAACACATATAGAGATTACCACCTGTATTATGAGTTTAATTAGAAATGTAAAACATTTCAGCAAGACCAGTACACTATCTGTAGACTTTAGAAATTACAACAGTAGAAATTATAATACTTCTTTTTGTAGAAATAAAACTTAGAACTTTGGAAGGGTTCTTTTAAAAATAAAATAGGTATTTTGAAAGGCAAGATGCATTTTACAACTTGTTAACAGGTTTTTTAGAACAGGCATCTAACAAGGAAAATTTGCAATGGTTCATTTAACTTTTTTCTTGTCTTTTTACCTGGAATATGGCCTCGGCAAGTATAAAAGAATTCTTTGCAATAGTCTTTGCAGAGCAGGGGAAGTACTAGATCTCTTTCCAAGACTTCTCTTTCAGGTGAGTGAAACAGGCTCTGAGAATGTGGAGAGCAAAGTGCACATTTGATTTCCTCCAGTAGCTTCCCACATTCTGTGTTGTTGGTCACAGAAAATATCTGAAAGCCATAAATCAGAAACAAATGATGTGAAGTTAGGTTTGGTCACGTTTTTCTTGCAATTATGTAAGCAGATAAGCCTAATTCAGCCAGTGAAGTTTTCTGAAAAGAGTTCCTGGGTCATAATCCAGGATGCCTTTATAAGGATATGAGCTGTCTCTGGAGTGGGTTGGGGGAAACAGAAGTCAGGGATCATAAAAGGGATCATCAAAGTCTATGACTCTGTCTTTCAGGTGTGAAGAATTAGAAGACAATTACATTTAGACTGTTGAATGCTTTAGCGCCTTTTTCTGCCTCAAAGTGATATTTCATGTTCTGCCATTGAATGATATTTCCCTTAAAAAGTCCCAAATACCTTTATGCAACTGCACACAAAGCCTAATTTTTAAAAACATGGCTCATTTGTGTCTTAGGTGAAAATCTATTTCATTCTTGAAATTCCCAATATGATATTATAGTAAATGTGCTCAGATGACATTATTAAAAATTTCTACTAATTTTCAATCTAAAGACTACCTAGGGAAAGTTTTCTAAACTGCCTTTCATGTTCTATAAAAATACCCGAAGCTGAATCAAACAGGTTTAAGACCAATTTTTATTATTCATTATATCTTAGCCAGGAAAAACTTTCTAACTAACTCCTCAGGTATGCTATATGCATGAATAAACACAAGAGTTTAATGAAAGTGCTTTTGTATAACATGAATTTTAATGAAACAAGGCATACTTTTATTATTATTTTTAAGATGATACACCTTTTATTTCAATAAAACTGATTTCAAACTTATTGATCCATAGAGGTTAGTAATTTGTAGAGAGAAGAGACTTGGTATTTCATGCTAACATTAAAAAGCTGGTATCAGGAGCACCTTTAATAAACACTGAAGACAATATCAGCACAGCCTTTGAGACAAGAAATGCAAAGCTGTCCAAATCAAGCATTTTTCCATATTAAAAAAATGCGAATAAATTTCATACGTTTCCCCAATTCATTCAATTGCCTTTCTATTATTTCTTTAGAACTATGCACTCAAATTAATGTTTCAAACTCTAGATCATTGTTTAAAGCAAACAGTTCATTCATAAATTGAGCTTCTAATTTGAATAAATCATATGGCCACTATATTTTAGGATTATGACATCATAGGTGATCATGAAATGCCTGATGTAGAGGAACAAGGTAACAAAAGAAATACAAGCATGCTGACATTTAGGCATGCAGTATTTAAAAGTCCAATAGAAGTTACCCTATTTCAGGTAAAAAAAAATATGATATGCTGTAACTATATACAATATTCAGAAAAGTTATTCTTAATCACAATGATATTTACATTTTTAATTTTATCAATTTATTTAAATGACAATTGCTTAAATGGTTAAAGTTTTCTAAAGGGAAACATACACCAGACACTTAGAATTTGCATTCCAAGAATGTTTTAAATGTCTTTTATTGTCCATACTCTGGCGGACCTCACCAGATCTATTCTATATTAATTGTGCTCAGCTTGGTTTTGCTTGTTTATCATCTAGCAGTGCACTAAGAACAAAACAACTGCAAGATGCTGAAGCCACCTTTTTTACTGGATGAAAAACTGGATTGTAAGTACTCTTGGTTTTATGAAGAATATGAATGCTTCCCTTTTTTTTATAGTTGAAACAAAATGATCCCCAAATACTCTCCTAGAGGCTATCCAAGAAGAGCTTGATTTTAAGTGTCTAAAGAATTTTGTCTTTCCAATTTTTGGAATGTGTCCTGGCCACAAGATCCCTCTTCAAAAGTTGCAGAAATAGGATTCAATAAATTATCTGAAATCGAGTATAATATTATTCTTTTTAAAGTTTCATGCTGTTCCGGCCCAGCAGGATGGTAACATTTTGCTCTGTGTGAGGTCTGCAGTGTAAATACCTATTTGAAGATAGATAGAGCCATCATTCTGGCTTGGGTTTCAATGAACATTGCAATAGTCTTACTGAAGTCAATTAAACTGACTCCACCAAAGCCACTACTCTGGTTTAGACAGATGAGTACTGGTGTGGGTACGGTAGGGTGATTTTTTTTTTTTCTTTTCCTTATTTATTTATTTATTTATTTTTGCCTATATATCTATGTTCATCCAGGTCCTTAACTTTCTGACAATACAATCCATCTTCAGAAGAAATTTAAGCTAATTTCCTGTTTCAATTTTTTAAAGCCATATACAAAACCATCTAATTTATAGTGGTTTAAACTGAATATACTTTGGAAGAAATCATGTTAAAACTTTGATACATTATTGCAGCATGCCCAGTAATGAGTGTGGCTGTGACTGACTAATTCGTAACATCTGGCAGGTCATCCTTTTAATCTTGGGCCACATGAAAGTGAAATCCATATAAGAAAGTTAAGATAACTCCTGGAATACAGGGTCGAGTGTGGCCTACAACTATAGCTTATCAACAAACAGTAAAACGGTGACAGAGACCTTCTGTATTTCTCCTTATTTATCAAGTAACTAAACAAAGAGGGTAAAAAAGACACCCACGTGGGTTCCAGAAAAGGACAAAAGGAGAAAATAATGACAGTATATTAAAATGTCTCCTTAAGATCACTTGGTACACAAAAAGTTATGTCTAAAAATCATATGCCTACAAGGTTGTTCAGCTGTTCCATAGAACACTTGCCTCTCTGGACTATATTGCTGGATTATGTCATTAAAGAGTTCAGTTTCAATTTTAGGCTAATATGTAAATAGATCATTGTACTAAGGCAGCTGTTAAAGGGACCCCAGGATGAGTTATTTGTTTAGTTGGATGTGTTCAACAATAGCCTTTGTCCCTGAAAGAGCCAGAGCAAACAAATGATTGTAAAAGGGCACACTTGAAAACAATTACTTTTCACCCATTCCTTGACAGCTTTGGCTGTGAAACCACCCAAGGTAGAGAGAGCTTCTGTGCCTCTGTGGCTACAAGTTAAGTTTTAGAAATGGGGGCAACTCATTTGGTCCGGGTTTAATTTGGCTAATGGAAATTAGATCTTTTTAGCATGTTGTATTTAGGAACTGCAAAAATATTCCTGAGACAATATAACTTCCTAAATTTTGGCAGTACTTATTTGAAAGGCAGTTTACAACCTCATTACAATACATGACGTTATTATAGTGTACAGGAATTAAAATACAAAAACACAGTATCATGGCTAAGGAAATGAACTCAATGCTAGTTCATTAAAGAAAAACTGTTAGTGTAGAAACTAGATTTAATTTCAGAGCTAAGCATGTTTAATATTCCTATCTAGTTTCTTACTATCTATTTGTCAAAGAAATTTTTTCCCTTAGGAAAAAAGCTACTACTGTAGTTTCTTGAAAAGCTGCAGAAATCTTTCCTGGGGAAATATTTTTTTTTTTCTTTCCTAAACAAAAAAGGGCCCTTTCAAATAGCCATCATCTCTCCTGTATACACATTATGAAATAAGACCCTAACATATATTATAATCCAGGAAGGCTTATGGGGGAAAAAGGAAACACTGAAGTTTATTATAAAATAACATGTTTTGAAAACTATTAAAATTTGAGAACTAACATAGGTCAAGAATGCATATGCATAGCTATATCAAATCTCTGGTTTGAACAATTTGAGTACTGTTGGTTTATAAACCACTTGTAATGGAACCAGCAAAGACCAGTGTGCCCAATTTAATAATTCAGACACATTTTCCAAATGAGTAGGGGTTTGTTGAAGATTGGGAGCATGAGAGGAAGAAAGGAATGTGGATAGCTAACGTGGCAGATTGCTTCCTAAAGGACGATTTCTTTAAAAAAAATTTATACAGCTTCTCTTAAGGGTTGTAATTCCCCTAGTCCCTCCTCCCCTCCCCTTCACTCCACTATATTTAGTTAAGAACAGAGTTTTCATTCCACTGTGTTCCTGGGAGAAGTCAATATTGCAGGGGTCTCTACATCATCTGTATACTCATGGCACAGATTGCACACAGGGACACTTAATGGCAAATGTTTCTAAACCTTTCTTTGAGTTTCTGGTTCCTTGGGGCTTCTGGTAAAACCTTTAAGATAATCTGAATGTAGCTGTTTTGCAATTTAATTCAATTATAACACTGGAGCTTAATGACATTGTTTTGAATAAAATGCTGGAATATCTGTTCCCTGAATCTCAGACTACTGCTGCATATGGTAAGAATAAAGAGTGAGTTTCAGCTGAAAACCTGCAGCAAGACAGTTCTCACTCATCTGGGAATAGAAGGAGTTGGACAAATGCTCCCTCAAAAGGCATGAACATTTGGACAGAGCTGGGGACTGAAAGAGAATGATGTTCTCTAGTTTCACCCATTAGTGAACCAACTAACAAATACAATGGTGTTGTTGTTATTCTTTTGCCATAAGCAACAGGACTCTGTGTGTGGGCAGCAGTTTAGTGGGGAGGAGGATAAGTCGACCCCTTTTTGTCCTATTGATTTTTTCCTATTTGCATGACTTGAGCAAATTAAATGATGCAATATGGCTTTTTGTTACAAAACAAAGTGAGAGATACCACCCAGACACATATGTTGATTCGTAGGAGCTGTTTACATGAGAATAGAGTGAAATCTACCGTGAACTGAGCATAAAAATTAGATTCAGCCTGGGTTTTTTTTTTTTTTTAATGCCTGGGCCAGCAAGACTGAAGCACAAGTTTTCCAAGAGTCTCTCAGACCTTGACAACTGCAGTGTTGTAACAGAGGAATTCTTAATTAAACCTAAAATGGGGAACGGGAGGGGGAGCAAAGACACCTGATTGTTTATTTCACGTGCAGTGATTGTTAATGACGTGATCCAGCAGTCTGTACAGTACACAGCACACATTACTGCATCCCAAGGCAGGAAAGAGATTGCAAACTCAAAAATAAGCATGGCTTTGCACTCGACCGACACTATGTTCCTATTTGGTTACTTTTATTAACATAAGGGAATCATAAACACCATCGCCCCTAAAACAAGTTCCTAGAGGTCTTCCTAGACGACTCACCACCACGGCAAGCCTGAATATATAAGGTTACAAAATGACAGAGAATCGTCTCAGTTTTATGTGATACGACCCAGCAAAATCACTCGCCAGTTTTTCGGGTTCTCCACCGGAGGTATTAGGAGTTCCTTTCCGCTGGCTTAACTATTGTAATGCAAGACACCCCCCCCTCTGACGGGGCTGAGGATCATAAACCAACCCATGCTTCAACATCCTTTACGATTCAATCCTCCCTCTAACCGAGCACGTGGAGAAAACTGCACAAATCTTTTTCCCTAGAAAAATAAACCGGAAACCACAGCCACCTTAATTTACAGTTTCACCGCAGCCAATACCCGATTTGATCCAAAATACACTGTTAATCGCGATTCTTTTAAAATATTTACCCGGCACGGGATGAGGGTACCACAGAAGCGTCTCTTTTCTGAGACAGACAAGTTTGCACAGCATCCCGACCGCGGGCTCTGGGGGCGGGAGAGCTATCTGCGCACCCCAGAGGATCACACAACGGAATCACGTTAGCGCTTTAAACAAGTTATCAGCAGAACTCCCCGAACAAGTTTTGCACTTCTTACAGCGACCAGCATCGCCAGAGCCACAGGGAACCCCACCCAGCCTTATGCCAAGTTCGCATCCGTGAGGCGGGCGAGTCCCTACCTTGTTCTCCAGGCGCCCCAGCCCCGGGCTGTCACTCCGCAAGCAGCAGGACAGCCGAGGGTAGAAGCCACCGCACAGCATCTCTCCCCCATTCAGCAGCTCCAGCTGGGACATCATCCGCCTGTCTCTCCTTTTCAGGCGCTTCGGGGGGTTCCCATTCAGGCACCTTCTCCTTCTGGCTCCGCTCCCGTCGCTCCTTTCCCCAAACTTAGCATCTCCTTCAAAGAAGCCCAGAGCCACGGCCAGCAGTAGCAGCTTAAAGGAGAGCATCTTCAGCATCGTCTGCCGTGAGCGGCAGGGGCTGGGCGCGCGAGGGTGGGGGGTAACGCCACTGCCCAGCAGAGGCACTAGGGCGCAGCTCCAGGAGGAGGCTACGGGGCGGCGGGACACTGGAGAGGCTGAGGAAAGTGGCCGGGGCGAAAATACGTAAAGCGATGCAACTTTGCAAAAAAGAAAAGTCGAGGCGACGGGTCCAATGCCTCAGGGAAACCGGAGGAGCGAGATAAAGTTGTGCAGATGACACCGTTTGCGGCTGTGCCAGTGTCAGTTGGGTTAGGGGCTTTCCGCTGCAGCTGGGACGTGGGAGGAGAAGGAGTTGGAAAAGGAGGAGGAAGAAGAGGAGACGGCCACAGAAGTTCACTTGTCCGTGTAACGGGAGTTGTTTAGGTGAGACAGTAGCAGGAACAGAAACGTCGGCGGTGGCGGCGGGGCAGGCGGAGGCAGGGCCAGCGCTGGGCTCTAGATGATGCTGAGGTCTCCTCTGCCGGCGGCTGCAGCTTCTCACACAGCCTCTCATGTTTCGCTCCCTCTTTTCTTCTTCTTTTTAACTAGCGCGCGGGGAGGTGCTGCCACCGCGCGCCCCTTGACGTCACCACTTCTCGCGCGCCCCCGCCCGGGTGGGGGAGAGGGGAGGGGGCGGCCCCGGGGCGAGCGCGTCCCCGGGCCCCGGCGGCCTCTGGCTGCGGCTGGGAGGGGCGGCGGGCCGCGGCGGATGGAGGGGGAGGGCGGCGGAGCCGGCGGAGCCAGCCTCGAGGGCGCGGGACTTAGCGCGCCCGCCTCTCCGCGGCGCCCGAGTGGGGGCGGCCGGGCCGAGGCACCCAGCCCGACCGGCTGGGGGCGAGGGCGCAAGCCAGAGGCTACCCGGCGGCCGCCCGCCGGTTCCTCGCTCCGGTCCGCAGCCCCTCCGCACCTCCCGGGCTGAGGCTCCCAGAGAAAGTGAGTAAGAGTGGGGCCCCTTCCAGGGCTCCCGAGCCCGGGGGAGGATGAACTAAGGCAGCGGAGCGGGCGGCGGGGAGCTTTCTGGCTCCTTTCCCTCCCCCAGCCCGCACCGGCATCCCCAGGTCCCCAGTGATCCTTGGGGACTCATTTGGAAGCGCCTAGGAGCGCGCGCGGGGTGTGGTGGTGTGGGTCCCAAATGCTGCGGACTTCTGAGTCAGGTTGAGTTTAGTTTGGAGACTTTGGGAAAAGGGTCACTCATCCTCTCCCAAAGCCCTCAATCTATTGAGGTGGCACAGGCGGGTGAACGTGGCATAGGCTGGGGTGGGGTTTCGGGGAGCAGGTTGAGCCAGCGCCTACCTCCCTCAGGGTTTGCTGCGGTCTGGGCAGGTTGGCCCCCAGCTCCCCTTTGGAGGACCCCACACATGTCCAGGAAGCAAACCTCCTTGCCTCGCAGACTCAGGACCCGGAATTCAGGTTCCCCTGCTCTAGGTGGGCATAAAGAGGTGATTGTGGAATCAGCGTGCATTCTAAATATCACACACACACACACACACACACACACACACACACACACACACTCCACTCCCCCTCGGCCTCCCGGCGTGTAAATACAGATGTGTTAGTTCTGGAGGAAGAATTAGTTGCAGGTGTGTGGGCGTCCAGAAGCGCTGCCCTCCATATCCCTGTGTATACAAATAAATTAACCTTTCCCCCAACTAGACAAAGTCTGTGTAAAGGAAGTGTTTATTTAAAAAAAAAAAAAAGTCTCCGTTGTCAAGGGCAGTGACTTGATGTTCATTGGTCCCTCCAAGTTGGCATCAGAACGAGTCTCTATCGGGTTGCACACAGAATGTGCTTTTTGCCCGTTTAGGTGTTTAACAGGGGAATTGATTTTCTGGTGGATGGGTTTTGATGACGAGATAAGACAATTTCCCATTTTGGCAATGGAGGAACGTTCACCATATTTGGATTTGCTTCATTTCTCTGACACGGATTTCACCAAGCTCATGTAAAAGTTGGTGATGGTTGACATAGTTAGCTGATTAAACTGATTACTCAAGTGGTGGCAGTGGCTAGGTTAGCCTTCTGTCCCTTTTACTTTCTGGACCTGGGTTTATGATTAGAGCTAAGTATTTACCAAAAGAGCTGACCGATTACAATAACTGAAAAGAACCTTCTGGGATGTTTGGCCCAGTCCTCAGCTAAAGGTAAGGCCCTTAAGACATTCTTAACATTTCTGCCAGGAACTGTTGTATATATCTGTATACATGTGACTGTAAATGCTACTTTGGATCCCATAGACTGTTTTATTTGACTGTCTGCCTGCTTGGAGAACTTTAAATATAAAATAAATCAGCTATAAGGACTTTAAGACTTTAAACTCTTTTATTTAGTAGATCTTGAGCTGAATCCCATCAAAGTTAAATCACTTGCATGATTTCATCTAATTAGGAAATCTAAAAATCAGGAACCAAGAACCTGATCTAAGATACTTTCCACTCTTTAAGGCTTTTTGTCCAAAAATGAGATTTGTGTTCTTTTTCCAAAATGAAGATTCTTATAAAGTCATATTTCAGTGGTTCCAGCTCCTGATCTAAGTGATGAATTCATCTAAGTACTTTGGAAACAGGTCCTCCTTATGGTTTATACTTCAAGACTAAAGACACTTAAAGTATATTAATATTGGTTTTTAAAAAAGATGTTATCTGTTATAACCTATGGCCCTAAGTTTCAAGATATACAGCATTTCTAAAAGATTACTGAAATAAGACATGCTTGTTCTTTCTTGACACATGGATCTAAAATTGACCCTGTCTACTATTCATTATGAAAGTCAATAATCAGGGCACTTAGGAGGTAGCTGAACTAATTCTTATGACACTGATATAATACTTCCACATAGTCACTAAGCAGTGATACAAGTAGACTAACTTCTGATTTTTTTTCCCCCCAGAGAGAACACTACAAATCTCACCCATATCCAGATCAATAGTATGATTTCTTAGGAATCAAGAATCAACATTGGGTTATTTCCGACTGTTAACCTTGAGAGCCCACTTGGACACTGCAGCAAGAAAGGATAACCATCCACCCACTTGGACATGAAAAATGATCTTCGATCAGGGAGTTCTCTCTCTTCAGCTAAACCACCAGAAATAGAAGGAACACCATTCTGACCAAACTCATCCAGATGAATCAAGTCAACCCTTTTTAGCAAGGAGTGGAGCTGCAGAAGGGTGGCCAGGTCACTGTCTTCTGCTCGCACCATCATTGAGCAGCCTCCTCCAGAACTGCCACCTAGAGTGGTCCTCCCACTCACATGTCATTGTGTATTGGGGTGTTACTGTGTCTTCCCAGGCAATGTGGCTCTTTTTCTAATTTGCACCAAGGCATCTATATGGGCTAGTGCCAGCTCTGACTATTCTGCCCCTAACCTGAGTCCTATCCAGGATTATATTCCTTACTTTGAATGAATTAGTAATTCTGAAGTACAAATTAGGTTTATTGTGAAAGATGAGATATTTGATTTAAATTGAAAATGAGTTTCATAAGTAAAGCTCAAAATATGCAAGTGAATTTTGTATATATGTGTCTATGTATATATATTTGGACATATATTTCTATCATCAGAAGGTAGGACAACTTTGAAAAAAGAAGTTAGGCCAACTTAAATTGCTAAATGTTTAAAAGAAAACTATTTGGGGTTTTGGAATCAGTTTAATATGGATTTCTGGCCTTCACAGAAATATATATTATTTAATTCCATTTCAACATTCCCCTATGCTAAGCAATATGTATACAGTTTTTGGAAAATGATACAAACACTCAGCCTCCAGATAGTTAATCATCTAGTAAGGAAGACAAATGATAAGGTTACAAATAAATTTATAGCTGTAAATTATAATAAGTGCTTTGAAAGAAATGCCAAGATGAAGGATAACAAATCACATCCATCCCAAGATTAAGTGACTGGAAAGAGCTTCTCTGGGGAAAAGACATTTCAACTGAACCCCAGGGGTGCGTCAGAGTTTATGAAGTGACTTCACCTTCCCATTTAAAGTAGAGAAGCATTTGAACTGAGAACAGAATTTGGCACATTCAAGAGAACAAAAGTGCAGAATAAAATAGATAACTAAGAAAAGAGGCCAGAGACCAAATTCACAGTATCGCCACTAAGGAAGTTTGGGAGACCTTGCTACTACTGTGTGATTCCACAGAGGAAGGTCGGCCGACAGAGGCGAAGAATAAATCCACATCTTTTAAAATTTGAAGATTGGTTATAGTTCAAGTGCCCTGACACAGTGGTGGAGCTACTGGTTAATATGTCTTTCAGAAGTTGGCATTTCTGTGTGCCAGACACTGCTCTGGGGACACAGCAATGAGCAAACTTCTCCTGGAGCTTGTTCTCATGTGGGAAATAGAGAACAAATAGCTGTGGACCATATGTGGCATTCAATGCATAGACCAAAGGAATCATGAGGAAGAAGGGTGCAGCAGTTGAGAGAAATAGTTATTTCACAGACACAGGAAAGGTGTCTACTGAGTGAGTGATTGGTCATACATGAAGCAGCAAGCCATGAGGATGCAGGTATCTACGCACAGGGAATGGCAAGTGAAAGCAATGAACACACCAGCACTCTTATTGTGTTCAAGAGTTAGCAAAGAGGCCTATGTGACTGAGGGGAACAGGTGACTGAGAAAGTGACAAGAAGGAGGAAAGAGAAATAACCAGGGCCCAGATCTTGTGAGCAGTTATGGACTGAAACTCTTATTGAATAAGTAAGTCAGGGATCTTATCAGAAATAAACTCTTAACTATTTTCACAAAGTGAATTAAATGTAAGGAATTGGTTAAATGGATGTCCAAGAACTACAAGAGCTAAAAGGGAACACTAAAGAGGAATTCCTGAGGCTGCTGCATCCCCAGGCTTGGGGCAGCTGGGGGAGAGTTAGTGTTGACAGGACCCAGAAACTTGCACCAGCTCTGGAGATGTGGTTGCTGCCCATTGGTGCTGATCCCCTGAGATGGTGAAAAGAAGTCCATCATAGGAGTGCCCGCTAGCCTTTTAATTAATTAATTAATTTATTTTTTAATGTAGGTATTTTCTCTTTTGTTCTGCCTTGGCCACTTCCCACCAATTTGAAATGTTTTGCTTGTTTATTTTCATTCAGTTCAAAATACTTTCCAGCAGTCCCCACCCCCAAGTTCTTTGACCCAGAGGTTATTGAGAACTGGACCTTTTAGATGTTTGGGGATCTTCTGTTGTTAATTCTAACTCAGTTCCATTGCAGTCAGAGAGTATACTCCATATGCATTGAATTTTTAAATTTTGAGACCTTTTTATGGGCAGGAAAATTGTCTGTCTTGGCAAGCATTTTATAAACAAAAGAATGTTTTGCTATTATGGAGTGGAGGGTACTGAAGGGTCAGGTCACTTTGGTAGATAATGTGGTCCAAATTGTCCCTTATATTGACTTTCCATCTGTTCATTCTATCAGTTATTGCAGAAAGGATACTGATAACTAATATATGGCGGATTTTCTGTTTCTTGCAGATCTGCCCACTTTTGCTTAGTATATTTTGAAGCTTTGCTTTTAGGTGCATGAATGTTTAGGGTTGTTATGTCTTTGTGACAACTCGACCCTTTTGCCATTAGGAAATCTTTCTCTATCCCTAGTAATATGTTTTGTTCTGAACTCCTCTGCCTGCTACTCATTTAACCAATCCTGCTGTCTTTTGATTAGCACTAAACATGGTGTATCTTTTCCCGTCCTTTTACTTTTATCCTGTTTCTGTCTGTATATTTAAAGTATATTTATTATGGGCATCATGTGGTTGGGTTTCACTTGTTTTTGCCAAAGTAACATGCTATGACTTTTAGTTGAGATGTGTATACCCTTTACATTTGATGTGATGATTGAGATAGTTTAAAATCTATCACCTATTTGTTTTCTGTTTTGTCTTATCTATTCTTTGTTCACTTCTCTTTCTCTACTTTTTGATTAATTAAATATTTTTATTATTCCATTATATTATTGGTGTATTAGCTCTAATTTTTTAATGGTTATTTCAAGAAGTCAACATTATATTGTATTATAGTTAATATCATATCACTTTATTATAAGAACTTTAAAGCGGTGTACAGTTGTCCTTTGGTATCTGTGGGAGCTTGATTCCAAGACCCCCTGCAATCATACCAAACGCTTATTGAAATTGGCATACTATTTGCATGTAATCTATGCACCTCCTCTCCGGTACTTTAAATGACTTCTAGATTACTACCCCCCCCCATGTTATACTTTTTCTCCCTCTCTTCTAGATTACTTATAATAGCTATAACAATGTAAATGCTATGTAACTAGTTATTATTTTGTTTAGGGAATAATGAGAAGGGACAAATGTCTGTACATGTTTAGAGCAGATGCAGTCTTTTTTTCTAATATTACTGATCTGCAGCGTCCACAGATTTAGAAGCCAAAGGTCTGAAGAGCCAATGGTCTTCACCTCTCTCTCGTACCCTTTGCACATATGCATTACCTATGTTACAAACTTCAATGTGAATTGATATTTCCTTTTTTAGATAGATATTTATCTTTTAGAGAGATTTTAAGACAAGAATAAAAGTCTGTTACCAATATGCTCATTATTTTTGGTGCTTTCCATTCATTTCTATCTAGTGTGATTTTCCTCCTGCCGTGATGACAGTTCTTATAATACAGGTTTGTAGGTGATGATCTTATTTTCATTTTTTTGTGTGTCTGAGAAATATCTTTACTTTTGAGAGACATTTTTACTGGGTCTAGAGCTTTAGGTTGACAGTTGTTGTTGTTTTTTTTTAATCAGTATAGATGATTCCTGATTTACCATGGTTGGAAAGATGACTCTTCAACTTTCCAGTGGTGTAAAAGTGTTTCAGTAGCAACTGTACATTGGATTTTTAATTTTGATCTTTCCTCTATGTCTAGAACATGCAGAAGAATGCTCTCTTGTGATACTGGGCAGCAGAAGTGACCTACAGCTCCCAATCACCCATGTGATCACAAGGGGAAGGAACTGACTCTCTATATGTACTGTGTTGCTGAACTATGATGTTCAGTAGGCTAGATGCATTAAGAAAATTTTTGATTTATGATATAATTGAGGAGCATCTATACCTTAAATATTTTTGAGACAGCTCCACTGTCTCCTTAATTACATTTTCCAGGGAGAAATTATTCTCATTCTTATTTTGTTCCTCTGTATATAATTCCTTTACACTCTGGTTGCTTTTCATATTTTTTTCTTTATCAATTGGTTTCAGGTTCTCTCTGTATGCTATTTTAGATTTTTTTTAATGATTCCCAGATTACTAGTTGTTAATTATGCAATGTCTAACTACTATTTATCCCATCCAGGTTTTATTTCTTATTTTTTATTCCTTATTCCCTTTCAGGTATTGAATTTTTATCTCAAAAAGTTTGGGTCTCTTTAACTCCTTGAAGTCGGTCCTTTACCAGATTAGTCTTTCCTCTACGTTCTTGAACATTCTTGAACATATGGAGTGCATGGTTTTAATAACTAGTTTAATGTTGTCTTGAACTCATTCTTTTTGATTTTTTTCCTCCTAACTGTGGTTCATATTTTCCTGCTTCTTTGCATGTCTGCTATTTTTTGTGTTGAGATTCTGTTATGGACTAAATGTGAAGCCACAAAATTCATATATTGAAACCCTAGCCCCTAATGTGATGGGGATGTTGTGAGGTAGGACTTTTAGGAGGTCATCAGGTCATGGAACTGGAGCCTTCATGAAATGATTCCCCAGAGAGCTCTCTCACGCTTCTTGTGCCATGTGAGGAGGTGGACTACCTGCATTCTGTAAGAGGACCCTCACCGGGGCCCGACCATGCTGGCACTCTGACCTGGGACTCTCTAGCTTCCAGAACTGTGAGAAATAAATGTTCATTGTTTACGTCTTAAACAGTATCACTTTTTTGTGTATAGGAAGGTTTTTGACAACCAATTAATTTCTTTCATACATCTAGCATGTAACAGTGCCGTGGGTGATTCATTTCCATAGTCATTTTGTTATAGTAGCCCAAATTAACTAAGGCAGATTCCAAACTTTGTAATTACCCTTGTAGAATGTTTGACATAGTTTCCAATAAATATTTTATTTTATTTTGGTACCAAGGATTGAACTGAGGGATGCTTAACCTTTGAGAAACATCCCAGCCCTTTTTCCCCCCCTATTTTGAGACAGGTCTTGTTAAGTTCCCTCAGGCCTCGCTAAGTAGCTGAAGCTAGTTTTGAATTCTTGCCTCAGTTTCCCAAGCTGCTGGGATTTTAGGTGTATGCCACTATGCCTGTCTACAATAAATATTTTTGAGCTTTATTCTGAAGTGCAGTTAAATTATTTTCTAAAAGTCGGATCTTTCGATTTTGTGATTAAATTTTGCAAAACCAGAACCACTTTTAACCCAAAGCTAATTTTCTCATCCTGGACACACTGTCTAATTTTCCTTGATTACGAGGAACTTTTCTTAGACCTATGTGAGATCTAAGGTCCTACTCCTTCCAATTGGCTCTTTCCATGTTCT